TACTTCCATCTAGAAGGACAAGGGCAGCAGATTTATGGGAACACCACCAACTCCAGGTTCCTTTCCAAGTCACTCACTGTCCTGACTTGGAAATATATCACCATTCCTTCACTGTTGGTGGGTCAAAATCCTGGAATTCCCTCCCTAATAGCATTGTGGGTCAACCCACAGCAGGAGGAATGCAGCGGTTCAAGACGGCAACTCACCACCACCTTCTCAAGGGCAACTAGGGATGGGCAAGAAATGCTGGCCAGCCAGCGACACTCACATCCCATGAAATGAATAGGGAAAAAAAACTAGTGGGAGAGACTTGAAACTGAGGCCAAAGCCTGAGTGAAGGGGTGACCCTTTTAAAACGGAGATGAGGAATTTTTTTTAGTCAGAACTTGGTGATTCTGCAGAACTCATTGCAGAGGGCTGTGGAGGCCCAGTCATTAATTGTATTTAAGATAGGTTCTTGATTGGCGGGGTGAGGGAGGAATCAAGGGTTGTGGAGTGAAAGCAGGAGAGTGGGGTTATTAAAGATCAGCTATGTTTGAATGATGGAGCAAATTTGATGGGCCTAATGCCTAATTCTGCTCCTACATTTTATAGTCTTCTGGATTGATGACAGTAAATTAGGAGAGAATCCGATTTCCAAACCATGATCAGATTTCAAAAGGTAAGTTTTTTTGACTTCTGTGCTACACACTCATGAATAGGGGCTCACTTGTCCAAAACTTGTGCAGGAAGCTTTGAATCCAACAGTAGAGGAGATCATGTTTGAAACTGTGCCACCTTCTGCAACACCGGAGTGCCAAGTTCTGAAGTTTAAATGTTTAGATCCATTGATAACTAGAGGGCAGGTAAGTGAATGGCTGTTTGGGGTAGGTTTGGATGGGGTGTCAGCTGTGGCAGGTTGTGTGGGTTACAGGACTGATCAGGCAAGAGCAATGGGTTTGAGTCAATGTGTATGGTTGCCAGTGGGGTCAGATTTGGGTGTTTTGCTGAGTGGGGCAGGGAGAGAATTGGTGGTAAGTAGGGGGAGGAAAGGGCAAGGTTCAGTAGTTACTCAGGACATAGTTTTTAATCTGTAACTTCTGATTAATAATTAAGCTTAAGTGAGTCAGGTCCTTCTCAAATCTCTCGACTGAGGTGCTTTTTCAGAGTTCCAGATGCCAGGGAAATTGTCAATGCCTCAATTGGGATTTCTGCATGGTTTCAGTGTGCACCTGCAGTTTAAGCTCCTGCAACAAATCTGGCCATCAACATATCTGGACCATTATCACCCAAAATGGAGAGTTAGGGTTAGGGTCTGAGAGAGTGTTTGATTGGCCATTAGTTTAATAGGAATAGGATCTGGGAGAGCAGGAAGTGGGTTTTGCTAATGTGCTGAATTTGGAAGGGGTAAGGGAGAAATGTGGCTGGAAAGCTGGACATGCTTCCCTTTCAAAGCTCTATTGCTAAAGTATACAGTATTCTAATACACATACCTACACAAGGATCTTGACTGCTTGCTTTGTTGCTACTTTAAGGCACATATTTAATATCATGTGTGAAATTGTCCTTATGTTGAATAACTAGTTGAGAAAACTACATGGTAAATGTAGACTCTGCCCATTATTTCATTAAAATTGAGACTGAACTAAACTAATGTTGCTTGTCCTCAATTTACTGTTCCCTTCCATCTCCCCTGCCACCTTTACTAATCAGGGATGGTATCACAGCTGCACAAAGGGAGGTCATGGAGGAGGGTGGAAGTCAGAAACAGGAAAGGAGCAGTCACTTTATTGGGAGTTTTCTGTAGACCCCCAGTAGCAACAGAGACACTGAGGACCATATTGGGTGGGAGATTTTGGAAAGTTGTAGAAGTAATAGGGTTGTTGGCATGGGCGACTTCAACTTCCCTAATATGGACTGGACCCTCCTAAGTGCAAATAGTTTGGATGGAGCAAATTTTGTCGGGTGTGTTCAGGAAGGATTTCTGACTCAAGATGTAGATAGGCTGACTAGAGGGGAGGCCATATTGGATTTGGTGCTTGGCAACGAACCAGGTCAGATGTCAGATCTCGGTGGGAGAGTATTTTGGTGATAGTGATCACAACTCCGTCCTTTACTAGTCATGGAGAGAAATTGGAGCAGACGGTATGGGAAAGTATTTAATTGAGGGAGGGGGGATTACAATGCTATTAGTCAAGAACTATGGAGCACCAGTTGGGATCAGATGTTCTCTGGGAAATGCATGATAGAAATGTGGAGGTTGTTTAGGGAGGAGTTGCTTCAGGTTCTGGATAGGTTTGTTCCACTGAGGCAAGGAAAGGATGGTAAGGTTAAGGAACCTTGGATGACAAGACATCTTGAACACCTAGTCAAGAGGAAGAAAGAAGCCTCCTTAAGGTTGAGGAAGCAAGGATTGGACAGGGCTCTAGAGGTCTAAAGTAGCCAGGAAGGAACTGAAGAATGGACTTAGGAGAGCTAGAAGCGGGTATGAGAAAACATTGGCGGGTAGGATCAAGGAAAACCAAGACTTGCGTGTGGGACAAGAGGATGGCTTGAGTGAGGGTCGGGGCAATCAGGGATGGTGGAGGGAACTTGTGTGCAGAGTTAGAGGAGGTAGGGGAGGTCCTTAATGAATACTTTGCTTCAGTATTCGCCAGTGAGAGGGGCCTTGATGTTTGTGAGGATAGCATGAAACCGGCAGATATGCTCGAACAGGTTGATGTTAGGAAGGAGGATGTGCTAGAAATCTTGAAGAAAATGAGGATAGATAAGTCCCCTGGGCCAGATGGGATATACCTAAGGTTACTACGGGAAGCAAGGGAAGAGATTGCTGCCCCTATGGCAATGATCTTTGCATCCTCACTGTCCATTGGGGGGTGACAAATGTCATTTCCTTGTTCAAGAAAGGAAATAGGGATAATCCTAGAAATTACAGACTGTTCAGTTTTTCTTCTGTGGGCAAATTATTGGAGAGGATTCTGAGAGATAGTATTTATGATTATTTGGAAAAGCACAGTTTGATTAGAACTAGTCAGCGTGGCTTTGAGGGGCAAGTCATGCCTCAAGCCTTATTGAATTCTTTGAGGATGTGACAAAACACTTCGATGAAGGTAGAGCAGTGGATGTGGTGTATATGGATTTTAGCAAGGCATTTGATAAGGTTCCAAATAGTAGGCTTGTTCAGAAAGTAAGGATTCAGAGAAATTTGGCTGTCTGGATACAAAACTGGCTATCAATAGAAGACAGGGTGGTAGTAGATGGAAAGTATTCAGCCTGGAGCTCGGTGACCAGTGGTGTTCCGCAGGGATCTGTTCTGAGACCTCTGCTCTTCATCATCCAAGTCATTTATAAAGATCACAAAGTGGAAGGCTGGGTTGGTAAGTTTGCCGATGACACGAAGGTTGGTGGAGTTGTGGACAACGTGGAAGGCTGTTGTAGCTTGCAACGGGACATTGACAAGATGCAGCGCTGGGCAAAGAAGTGGTAGATGGAATTCAACCCAGAAAAGTGTGAAGTGATTCATTTTGGAAGTTTGAATTTGAATGCAGAATACAGGGTTAATGGCAGGATTCTCGGCAGTGTGGAGGAACAGGGGGATCTTGGGGTCCACGTCCTTATATCCCTCAAAGTTGCTACCTAAGTTGATAGGGTTGTAAAGAAGGCGTATGGTGTGTTGGCTTTCATTGGCAGGGGAATTGCGTTTAAATTGAGGTTACGCTGCAGCTCAGTAAAATGCTGGTTAGACCACACTTGGAATGTTGTGTTCAGTGCTGGTCACCTCATGATAGGAAGGATGTGGAAGCTTTAGAGAGGGTGCAGAGGAGATTTATCAGAATGCTGCCTGGACTGGAGGGCAGGTCTTATGAGGAAAGGTTGGGGGAGCTAGGGCTTTTTTCATAGGGGCGAAGATGGATGAGAGGTGATTTGATAGAGGTTTACAAGATGATGAGAGGCATAGATAGAGTGGATAGTCAGAGACTTTTTGCCCAGGGCGGAAATGACTGTTATGAGGGGGCATAATTTTAAGGTGATTGGAGGAAGGTGTAGGGGAGATGTCAGAGGTAGGCTGTTCAGAGTGGTGGGTGTGTGGAATGCGCTGCTGGCAGTAGTAGTGGAGTCAGATACTTTAGGAACTTCTAAGCGACTCTTGGATAGGTACATGGAGGATAGTAAAATGTAGGGTATGCAGGGTAGATTGACCTTAGTAGGATAAGAGGTCGGCACAACATTGTGGGCCGAAGGGCCTGTACTATGCTGTATTGTTCTATGTTCTATGTTTAAACACACTGAAATCCCTTCAATTTACTTCCTCCCCTAGCCTTTGAACCCGTGTTTGTACTTTGACATTTCTTCTTATTGGAATTAAGATTTAATGGACAAGTTGAAAGATGTGGTGTCCTCCTGCATCTGTGTCTGGGAAGTGGAACTAGTGGGTTTCGATGATGTTGCTAAAGAATTCAGGATTGTTATCCCTTAACCCTACTGCAGACACAGCATGTTAATGGTGGAGGTGGTGGACATTTAGGCTAAAGAGTGAAGAACCAATCCAACTGATTTGTCTTGGGTTGTGTTGGATTTCTCTACAGGCCTGTAAAGATTATTTATTACACTCCTAAATTGCATCTTTGAGGTGGTGGAAAGGCTTTTAGTGTTAGTAGTTGAGCCAGTTTCTTTAAAAATACTCAAGACTGATTCAAATAGCTATGTTATTTAAGCTTATCCATGCAGTTGTTTCTGACCAGTGTGCGACACTGGTATGTTAATAGGTTTCTTGCATGATCTTTAACTAGCAATCATGTGAATCTTGTTGATCTTCAGCCGAAACCTGTGTATTGGACAGCTCTTGCTGAATGCATGTATGGTCTGCTTCATTATCTAGAAAATTGTGAAGCAGTGGATCTGAATATCATTAATGAACAGCCTCATTTCAGAGAATTAGATTGCTACTTGAGTTTTCCAGGGTAGCTATGTCCTGAGGCTGAGCTGATTAATCTCCCACTATCACAATCAGGCAGCTTTGGTCAGGCCTGTCTGCAACCACTGAGTGTCCTCCTAATCTCATTGACTTTGGTTTTACCTGGGCTCCTTAATGTTACAATTATCTAGTGGTGCTTTCATGTCAGGTGCAGTCATTGCCACAAAAGCTGAATTTCACAAATGAGGTATCAGTGTTAATCTGAAGTTATGATCATGGCAAAAGTCAAACAAAGCATTGGCAAGTAGATTAAAATGCTGTTTTGTAGCCACTCACTCCTTTTGTCATTTTGGTTAGGTGTAGACTGATGGAGCGGTAATTGACCAGGTGAGATTTGTCAGACCTTTGGCCAGTACCTGTTGAAAGATCAACATTCTGATTTCTATCCCTTCCACTGCATCAAACTGCACCAAAATGTTCAAAATCAATTGATTGCTCATCATCCTGACTTCTGGCTCAGTTTATTATATTGTTCTTTGATATTTATCCTCCCTTCCCCAGCTTAGTATGAGTGATTCTGCTTAGCTCATCTCTTGCGTATCTATTATATGTAGAACCTCTGCAGTAGTGGTTTCTGTTCCTGCTGTTGTCCTATTGCCTACTAGAATCTGTAAGGGTAGAACCCTGTTTTACTTTTGTAGCTATGTCTGTTAGCATCATCTGCAGCTATGGGATCAGTTTTCAAATGTAGCTGATAGCACCCAGATCAACATGCACCACCTCTGTTGACTGCTGTCCACCCAGCAGATTAAAAGTATTCTCCTCAACCTGTATCACCAATTCTATACCCTCCCTGGTCACTGTTTGCAACCTTTAGTTTCCTAATTGAGTTGAACATTGGAAGCCCCACTATTGATACAGACCTTCTCAAACTTCTTTGCTTTGGAAGCACCTCAGTCCAAGAAGCACAATAACAAACATGTTTCCTTGTATGAGAGAAATCGGGGCAGGACTTGCATAGTTAATGAAGGGGTCCTGGGGAGTGTTGCTGAACAAAGACTTTTTGAAGTGCAGGTCCATAGTTCCTTGAAAGTGGAGTCGCAGGTAGGCAGGGTAGTGAAGAAGGCATTTAGTATGCTTGCCTTTATTTGTCGGTGCATTGAGTACAGGAATTGGGAGGTCATGCTGCGGTGATACAGGACATTGGTTCGGCCAGTTTTGGAGTATTGCATGCAATTCTGATCTTCCTCCTGTAGGAAGGATGTTGTGAAACTAGAAAGGGTCCAGAAAAGATTTACAAAGATGTTGCCATGGTTGGAGGATTTGAGCTGTAGGGAGAGGCTGGGGCTATTTTCCCTGAAGTGTTGGAGGCTGAGAAAAATTGAGGAGCATGGATAGGATAAATAGGCAAGACCTTTTTCCCATGATGGGGGGAGTCAAAAACTAGAGGGCATAGGTTTAGGGTGAGAGGGTAAAGATTTAAAAGGGACCTAAGGGACACCTTTTTCATGCACAGGGTGGGGAGTGTGTGGAATGTGCTGCCAGAGGAAATGGTGGAGGCTGGTACAATTACAACATTTAAAAGGCATCAGAATGAGTATATAAATAGGGAGGGTTTAGAGGGATACGGGCTAAATGCTGGCAAATGGGACTAGATTTATATGATAGCTTGTCAGCATGGATGAGTTGGACCGAAGGGTCCGTTTCCATATCTGACTCCCTGAAGGAAAACTTTTTGCCCAGAAATGGAAGAAAGTAGGTTTAGAAGGATGTTGAAAGAGGTGAGTAAAGGATACTTGGAAATAATCAGACCTGGCATTGTTTATGATCGAGACCATGAGAGTCGAGAGCAAAATATTATGGATGCTGGAAGTCCAGGGCTTGCAATACTCTGCAGGTCCTGCAATATCTTGATGAAAAGTAATTGACGTTAGCTCCATTTCACCCCTTGAATACTGCCAGCCCCTCTGTTTGCAGTATTTTGGTCTTTGACTGGGATTAGAAAGGCCATTTTAGATGGCAGCTTTGAGGGAGTCGCTACAATAGTGTTTGGAGGGAAAGGATTTGGTTATGGACACTAAATGCTGGCCTAGCTAGTAGTAGGCACATCCTATGAACACAAAGTAACAAGATAGTGAAATTGAAAGAGCAAGGGAGAGTTGAGGTAGGGCTTGAAATCACCAAGTGTAGTCACAAAAGATGAGGCAAGATATCTCTGGGTGCTAGTCACTTTCCACCAGCTTTTACAAATCAGGAGTATGATGGATACCTTTTTATTTTTCTTTGTGTCCAGCTCTAATAATACTCCAAATTCAACACCATCCAGGGAAAACTGCTTTGAAACATTGTGAATCACTTCAATTTAATTCCTCCACAATCTACGTACGGAGTGCAGTGTATACTATGATACATATTGCAATACAAAAGCACTTTGTGTTGAAGGGCAGGCTGAAAGTTATGGGAACACCACCTTCCATATTCTTGTCTAAACCGTGCATATCCTGACTAGTAAGTGATTCTATTCCTTCACTTTTTAAGATCAAAATCATGGAACTTCCTTAGTAATTGGACTGTGGACTGCAACGATTCAAGGCAACTCAGACCATCTTTCAGTCACACAGCACAGAAGAGACCCTTTGGCCCATAGTCTGGTTTGTGGTCAGTTAGAGATGATTAATAAATGCTGGGCTTCTCAGTGACACCTAATCTGAATTAATGCCTGGCTCTTCAAAAGGCTTGTTGAAACCTGGAAATACCTTGATAATTAGGAATGGGAGGTTTTAAGTTATTAGGCTAAAAGGAGAAGCTTCAATTACATTTAGTTTGGAATTAACATTTGGATATATGTCCAGTTACAGCACTTCTCGGCAGAACCATATATACAGCTTAAATTGTTCATGTTTCTCATGGTAATACCTGCTATCAATAAGAAACATTTTAAAAGCTTTGTGGTGTTCATAATACCACCTTGGAATGTCAAACTTTATCAACGGCAGGCCATGACAACCTGGATTTTGAATCTTGGTTTTGTACACTGTCCTATGGTTCTTGTTAAAACTGCATGGTTGGTTTCTTTGAGTCTCTCTTGGGTTTCTGATTTACTGAGTGACAGTCTAATCAAATCTGTTTTCAAAATTTGCTATTTAAAATGGGCGGTTGTAAGGCAAATCCCTGATTATTTCTAGCTTTAGAAACATATTATGGTGTGCATAGCATTTTTTTGTGACACCAGTTAACTTTTTTTTAGACTAAATGTTTGTCTAGATAAGCAAGACTCCTGACAATCTGTTATTTAATAACTTCATTAATACACTTTTGGAATGGTGGCCCAGTTGGAGAACAATAGCCTGATGTGTGTGTTCCAATGGTAATTTTGTTTAAGGCTTTTTTTTTTAATGTTGGTTTCTAAAATAATTACCATCTTATTCTGAAAAAAGGGTTGTGGATTTTTTCGACAAAAAATTGTTTTCCAATAATTTTTTTCTTATGCTGAAGCAAATAAAGCATTTCAAAGAGAAAATGACCTTAACACAATCTATTTTGTTTTGAGTTAGAGATGTTTGTACCTACAGTAGATATTTCAAGTGCTTTTGTTCATTTCTAGTTACCTTCTTTCTTGCTTCTTTTTAATAGTTCAAGCTTATATCACAAGCCTATGAGGTTTTATCAGATCCTAAGAAGCGAGATCTCTATGACCAAGGTGGTGAACAAGCCATTAAGGAAGGAGGAGTAGGGGGTGGTGGTTTCTCCTCGCCCATGGACATCTTCGACATGTTCTTTGGTGGTGGTGGCAGAATGCAAAGGGAGAAAAGAGGTACATGAAGTAATTTCCCTAGTTCATTAGAGACTTGGGTAGGGAGAAATTTCTGTCAAATCATCATTTTTGTAGGAAGACACAGGGCTACTGAGCAAAGTTGCCACCTTTTTTAAATGTGTTGTATCTTGAAAATAAGAATTCTTATTGGAACCCTAAAATTTTCACCCAGCTGTCCATATAATATTCTATTTCCCTAATATCAAATCTTTGACCTTTAAAAGTCTGTGCAATTTTTAGCACTTGTTTTATTTACATAAATTTTAAATTAAGTACTCTACTTCAGAGAACTGTTTTGCAAAATATTGCAGATGCTGAAATCCAAAAAATGGTGGGAATACTCTGCAATGTAGAGCAACATCTGCAGAGAGAAAAACAAGTGCAAAAGTTAACACTGCATGTGACCTTTCATCAGAACTGGGAAAATTTTGAAATGCAACAGGTTTTAAACAAATGCAGAGGCAGGAGAATGGGTGATGGAGGAAAGGGATAAAACCTCCGACGGGTTGGAAGATAGGTGTGATTAAACAACAAAAAATTGATTGAACAATGGTTGATGGTTAATGGACAGTAGAAGAAACAATTAGTGCAGAAAATGGCAAAGAATAATCATAAACTGAGCATGCAGGTTATGATTGAAAATTGTTGAACTTTATTTTGATAAGGCTGTAAAGTGCCTTTTTGAAAGATAAGTTGCTGTTCCTTAAACTTCCATTGAGCTTCATTGGAAGTGAAAGGGGCTACAAAACAGAAGTAATAATCAGGGCCTCAGCTTCATCTAGACTCCATTGTAGTTTGCTGCAACTCAACTTAATTTCTTGCTGAAACCAAGGTGAGCTTGTTAAAATTAAGCGAATCTAAAGAACACCTTTCACTTATCCATTTACTACAATAAGTCTTCAACTTATTACTAGATGCGCAGTTTAGAAAAGTAGTTAGTTTATTTTCCAGTAAGTCAAGGTATAATAATGAAGATTAGAGTGCACAGGTCATTTAGGGGTAAAGGTTCACCAATGGAAATGGTCTGAGGTATATATTGCAAAGGTATTTTCCATAATATTCAATGTGATTCAATAATGCACCTTCTGTTTGCACCTGTGCAACATATGTGCTTTATCTAGCATATATAAAGAAGTTTTGTTATGGGTCACGTAACTCATGGTTCTCAGTACTAGGAATCCCACTGAGCTCATACTTGAACATTGTGTACAGCTTAACAGTGTAGGCAACATACTTTTGACTTGTCTGTATCTTTTGTATATGATCCGTTTCATGTATTGAGTGCTTGCCAGCTAATCAGCTGTCATTGGTTCTTGAGTCTGGCCAGGAGCATTTTGTTTTTCAAGTTGTCAAACCAGTCTTACTGGCCTATAAAATATTGTTCCAAGAATTTCTACTGAGTGCTAGCATTGTTTATTGGAAATATAGTCTAATGCACAACTATTCAGAAAGATTGCAAGCTTTCAACCATTCAAAATTGACTTCAAGATTCATCTTGCGATATGCCTGTGTTTAGGCCAAGGACATGAGATCAAAGCATGTTTTGTCTATTGCAAGCCTTGGTTTTTGATCACTTCAATGTACATAAACTTAAAAAATTTCTTCATTGCAGAAATCCTGGGTAACTTTATTAAATTGACTTAAAAACAAAATCTGTCTGGAGAAGCCAAGTCAATCAACTCAAATATTAATGTAGGATATTTTCCAAGTATGCTTGTTTGGCAGCTTGAACTCTTGACAATGTTTTGGTTGTATGTCAACAAATTTAACTGCTTTCCTCAAGTATGAAGTTGGTATCACGTTTTAATACTTGCCTAACTTTTTTTTTTAAAAATCAACGTCAGCCTTTGAATATAGTTTCATATATCTTGGTCGCATTATTTGTATCTAGGCAAGGATGTCGTTCACCAGTTGGCTGTTTCACTTGAAGATCTTTACAATGGAGCCACAAGGAAGCTGGCATTGAAGAAAAATGTAATTTGTGATAAATGTGATGGTGAGTATACAATTTTATTTTGCTTGACCTTAGAATAAAACTCAACATTGAAAACATGACAGCATCTATCAAACTGGTTGAGACAATGCCACAAAAGCTGACAGCTCAGTAGTGTTGCATAGCTTGACAGATGGTGTAGTGGGGAAGTTTGTTTCTGGAATGGTGTACTGCATTCTGCAACAGGAAATCTTTACTGGTTGCATGGCCTTCATCTAACCAGAACAGTTAGAGATAAAAAGGAGTGACTGAAGATAATAAAGTGCAGTGTTGAAGGCAGAGAAATATAACTTTGCGAAGTAGATGATTTTTAAAAAAGTACCTGGAGAAAGGGTGTTGGAAGTAGTAGTAGGCTGATAGCATTGTTTGTTGTGGTCAGTGTTATAAATAGCCAAGGAACTGGAGACGATTTGAGAGGGAACACAACAGATAGCAAATGCTATCAGACGCTTTTTATATACATCACTGTAACTCCAAACACCCAAAGGGAAAAGTAAATCAGCTAATTAAGTGTTAAGAATTGCATTAGATTAAAGGAAGTGGCTGATAAGGATCACAGCAATGGTAAACAATTTAGTACCCAACCAGAGGTTACCAAGAAACTCCTTAAGAATGGAAGAAGAGAATATGAAGGCAAACTAAAAGCTTTTTAGCTATGTGAAAAGGAAAAGATTTCGCGAGGACAAATGTCAGCCCATTACGGGTATGGGTGTGAGAATTTCTAGTGAAGAACAGGGAACAAAAGTTACTTTGCATCTGTCTTCAGAGAAGATGGTAAATAATAGTAAAATTGGATAGAGTCAAAAAAGATTTATGAAAGGTTAGAGACAACAAGGTGCAGAGCTGGATGAACACAGCAGGCCAAGCAGCATCATAGGAGCCTTTTTGCTCCTATGATGC